TTTTTTTTATTATTTAACAGAGAGCAAGTTCAATCTGGTGGAATATCTAGGTCAGAGGAGCCAAGGGTTGAACGAGAGAGGTAACCGTTTTAATTTTGCTGTATACAAAATCCCTACTCCACACTACTCCATTTTTTTAATCTGTCGTCGTAGATTTTTTACACATTAAAAGAGCAGGTCTTTGTGTTTCTTAATTTAATCAAATGTGTTGAATTTAAGTTACTGATTTGAATTCCGCTAACAAATTATTTATATCCGAGCTAATTCTAATGAGAAAAGAAAATATTTAAATCGATCAACATCAGTTCTTTCGTCATTCAAGAACATATGCAATTAAGTCATCTTGGTTTTCCCAAAAGTAACAGATATAATTTTAGCAAAAATTATCTGAAATGTGACGAAACAGAAACGGTGGGACTAATTTATTAGGACAATATCTCAAAACCAAAAATGATTCAATTCAGGGACAGAGAAAAATCTCGCGAACGGGGAAAAGAAAGAGACAGAGAACGTGAAAGGTCCCACGACAGGCCTCGGGACCGCGATCACCGAGATGACAGGCACCACAGGGACCGCGATCGGACCAGAGACCGAGACCGCGACCGCGACCGTGGCCGTGACCGTGATCGAGACCACGAGAGGGACCGCGGCCGTGACCGTGGCCGTGATCGGGGCCACCATCGTGAGAGGGAGAGAGAGAGAGACGGGAGAGATTATGAAAACGAAGCCCATGACCACAATTACGATCGTGGCCGCTCTCGAGACCGTTCTCGTGATAGGGACTATGACTATGATGAAGATCGTGGTGACTCGAAGCGTGCAAGGATTGAGAGGGAGGGAGGGGACTATGGTGAAAAGGCCGAGCATGGGCAGTATGACTATTATGGGAGAGGACAGTATGATGATTACGACCAGTATGATGAGGATGGTGGGTACGGTTTTGAGCGGGCTGATGCTTCTGGTTTGCAGGAGAGGGACCATGGGCGCTCGGATAGGTCTCGTTCTCGTGAGTATTGATTGGTGATGTCTGTTAGTGTTTTTGTCGTTTTCGGACAGTGTCTGAATGGATCGTTCGGTTTTTGTGTTTTGGTTTTGTGATGTTGGTTGAATTTGGGCAAGGAGTTTGGATGTTTGTATGTGGTTTATGTGCTTGGTATTTGTTTTCAGTACTGCTTTTGGTTTTAGCTGTGGGATCTTGTGTACCAGCTTTTTTTTTTTTTTTTTNNGAGATTTTGGATATTGTTTTTTTGGATCTTCTGGTCGGATTAAGTATTGCGTTGCCTTAAACCCTGATATTCTTGAACGTGTTGGTTGCGATGCCGTAGCTTTGCTCTCCTCTGTTAGCCAGTCATTTTATTTCATCGAAATCCGTTAAAAGGGAAAAAATAAGAAATGGAATTACAGAATGGGAAGATATATGGGTTATTCATCTTGAAAATATTGCCCCTATTCGTGTGGCTCTTGTAACTCTAAATTTTTTAGAGGAAGAATCATTATCTTTTACGAATCGAACGGTTAAAAGTGTATTCAATTGTGATTCCTAAGAATTTTTTAAATTTTTTTTTTAAAATTTGGTGAATTTTGTAAATTTTGTAGAACTTTCATGACTTTAGTGGACTTTTTGAGACTTTAAGAGAATTTTCATTAGTAACTTTTTAAGATTTTTATAATGACTTTTTAAAACTTATTGAGACTTTTGTATACTTGTAGTTATAATATTATGTTTGAATAAAATATTAATAAATGTAGCATAATAACTAATAAAAGAGTAAATTAAAAAAAATATGTTGTGTATATTAATCCTCTAAAAATTTATGAATCAACTCATTATTATGTGAAATGAGCTATTCACGAACTAATTGTTTAGGATTTTAGATTTATTAAACGAGTAAATCGATCCGAGCTTCAACGACTGAACTCGAGCAGGGCCTTATATTTGTTTGCTAAAAGAGCACAAGCTCAAATATGTGTTAGATATCTCTGCTACGACGGCACTTATAATCAACTCAAATTAAGATATATTTATCAAATTAATGATTGATTTTATTTTTTATATTTTTTCAGAAAATTCAAGTTAAATCCCTCCACCCCTTTTCATCTTCCTTGTCAGTCCCACACATAAAATTTGTTCCTTTGCACTCCCTAATTTGAACTTCTCTTTCCCAACCACTCCCCATATATATAGTAATATTATTATTTTTCATTTATTTTGGCTGAAACATAAAAAACTCTCTTCATTATGCTCTCTCTCTCTCTTCGTTTATGCTCTCTATCTCTTCATCGCCGTCTCTCTTTTTTCTCTCTAATCGTCTCTCTCTATGAAAATTCCATCGTCGATCATCTCTTTCTCTATGAAAACTGCAAAATGTAAGAAGAAAAGAAAAGAAAAAAAAAACATCGGGACTCTCTCAGATCCCCAATTGAAAAATTTAATCCCAAATCAAGATCCCCAAATTCTTCAAAGATCTAATCCCAACTCAATTGCTTGTTCGTAGAGCTTAATTATGTGGCCAAGGTGCAAGATCTTGAGGAGGCTTCCAAATCAATTCCAGTTCGGCTGGTCGGAGAATGACGAGGCCTGCGAGGCGGAGACGGGACTCGAGAACGGCGAGCGGGCTGTGATGAACGACGAGCCTATTTCGAAACGAGGATTAGATTGTCGAGGAAGCCGAGGATTCGAGAGCTCGGTCAGTTGGTGTGATGCTTTAATGAAGGAAATCACAAAGACCACGACTGGGTCAGTGACCCTTAATCTTTATAAGGGGTCGGTTAGTGTTGCGGGCCGAGAAAGCCCGTATAGTCTTTATAGGGAGGATATTTCGTCATTTGAGACTGGGGAGATTTACAATCAGGCTGATGCGGCTTGTTTTATCTGCCTTTACGGGCTGCCGATGAGAGTTCGGGCTATGCTCGAGAAAGGGATCTGATGGCGTTTTTTAGGACCCGCATGGGGATTCAGTGGGCTTACTGTATTGTTTGTCCAATTTGATACTTAATGTTTATTGGTGCAAATTGTTGTGGTATCATGTGAGATGGTATCTTGAGTTTAATTGATGTTGTTTCTTATTTTTTG